GTGAGAATATGAAAATCTTAATATAAATAAATTGGGAATGTGTCAATGGGGACACAGATGATGCCCCCACTTGCATTTAATGTTATAAAGGGATATAACTCAAGAATTGTAAAAGCGACGCTACCCAAATTTGTACTTGATCTGAGATTTGTGGTAATAAGCATTGTGCATAAGTTTCATAACATTTGGTTGAGGCAAATTAAAGTAAGAGAACGGAATCAAAAAATTCAGCAATTCTTCCATTTGTGAAGGGGCATAACTCTAGATTGGTAAAAGTGACGCTACCAAAATTCAAACTTGATCTGTGTTTTGTGGTAATAAGCATTGCGTATAAGTTTCATAATATTTGGTTGAGGCAAACTAAAGTTAGAGAGCGGAATTGAAAAATTCAGCAATTTTTCCATTTGTAAAGGGGCATAATTCTAGAATGGTAAAAGTGACGCCACCAAAATTCAAACTTGATCGGTGTTTTGTGGAAATAAGCATTGCGTATAAGTTTCATAACATGTGGTTGAGGCAAACTAAAGTTAAAGAACGGAAAACAATTTTGGGATGTATGTACGTACAGACGGACAAGGGTAAAACTTAATGCCCCCTCCGCTACGGCGGGGGGATAAAAATAGAACACTGTTACTGCAAATTTGATGCTGTATAGCATATTGTCATTTTAGGGGCTACATATGGCATTCATTGACCTTTTCCTTGACCAATCAGAATCAAGAATTAATTCTAGCAACAATGATATTTTGGCTGACTGGACCAAAGAGGTTTTTATTTTTATATAGAAACTTTCATACATTATTTCTGCAATTTTGGTTCAATTTTTAAAAAGTAGTTTTAATGGAGATGTTAAAATAAAAAGTCAATGAATGGATGACATAACATGCTGTAAATATCTCAAAATAACCCTTTGGTCCATATGAGCTAAAACAAGTTATATAAATATATCTATAATCAATGAAATGAGCAACGCTTGTTAGCTTTATCTATTCAATAGCACCATATGAATGTACAATACCAAACTATAGTCTTTAAAGGAGCTTGTATTGCTCATGAGAAATCTATGCTTAAGGTCATGAAAAGATCATTAAAGGCATTCACCAAATATTACTTCATAAAAACAAACATATCTAATTTCACTTCAACGATGTTAGCCCTTTAAAAAAAATGCACAAAACTTTTTGGAACCCCATTACAAATTTGAAGAAAAAAATTGCAAGCGGACTTTAATCATAACAGTCTAATGAGCATTTCCCCAATTACCGATATACTATTGATAAACAATCTTGTAATGTAAAGTGGATGTTTTTCTAGGAGTTTCATGATTTCTTAAGATTGTGTACAAGGTTTATTTAAGGGTCTTTTCTAATCCTGTTTCTGATCTTCCTTAGAGGATGGAATTTAGGTAAGGGGACATTTTCTCCATTTTTTTCTAAATCTTGGAATTAAGAAAACTAATCTCCTCAAGAAAATTTCAAACTTTACAGAACATAAAATTAAAATGTGTCTTGAAACCTTTTGAACCCATGAAATGCAATAAGATCACTTTTTGAACCATATATTGGGAAAAATTTAGGTTTCCAATGACTATCTTTACCTGCAAGTCATAGGTAGAATAAAAGTCAGTTATATTGATATTCAATAAGAACTGTAAATGCTTATTACACAATTACATTACAAAATTGAATTCTGTTTTTGTCAAAAAATATACACAGTATTATAAAGGGCTATATAAAACAGTCACCTCCCAGAAAAAGATGCATATATCATAGAGAACACAAAAGCTATAGCAAAAACTTTAGACTTTGGCTCCTTTTAGCTCAGAAATGATTATAGCAACAGCAATTTCTGCTAAAAATGCAGGTTTTTTTTAATGGGAATAACATCAAATCAAAGTTCGTTGAAGGACTCATTCTTGTTTTTATACTGTATGGTGAAGTAGTAATTGGAAAGAAACAGGAAATATTTTTGAATTGAGTTATCTCCCTCTGTCCATAACTGTAGGATTCTTGCACTATGCAGATGCTTTCTGTAACTTTAACAAATTGTTTTCTGAATAAATATGGTAGTAACATATGCACACTAGTAAACCAATGTTGATCTGAAACTGTCATTTTGTTCTTAACATCATCTGAAAAGTCTGAACAATAAATAATCCAGTCATTTTAAGTCTTTCAGTCAATTTTCAGATTTTTACCACTGCGTTAAATTCAGTACTGTTCAGTAGCTTTTCAGACAATTCAGTGTGATGTTGGTGTGTACATGTGTACAGGTAAATAACTTCCAATGAACAGATATTAATTGACTGAGCAATAATGATTTCCCCACAGTTAATCGATCTGAAAATTGACTGAAAGACTGAAAATAACAAAATAATATACTGTTCAGTCTTTTAAGAGCTGTTCAGATCAAAATTAGTTGACTAGTGATTAAAGTTCAATTGCACTTTATGCAAACTTTACCCCCAACATCCTAAACTAACTTAATAACAAGAGAGGACAACTGGGACAAACCAGACTCTTAAAAAATTAGTTTCTACTTCTTTAACAATCAAGAAACAGCAACAGAAACCAGGGCATAAACTTGTTGGCAAGATGTCAGTATGAGGAGTAGTAGTCAGGTGAAATTTTTGTTGTTGTGAACTGTTACCATATTAGCTGGTATGATAAAAATCCAACTTGGCATGTCTAGTATGACCTTAAAATGCAATTGGTCTTAATATATATATTTACAATATTCCACTCAAGACATTAACCATCAATCAATACAGAAGAAAACAATTTTTTAGTTGACTTTCACATTAAGTCCTATTTGAAAAACGATTTAAGCAATATTTCTGCATAGAATACTTAAAAAAAAAAAGCCCTTGCACACTGAATTTTAATGATTGTTTTGTTATTTGCACTGCAAGTAACCTGTGTCTGTATGTAAGACACATATGTTGCACCAATATGTTTTACTTTATGTACATAAAGGAACAGTTGATTATTGACCAAGTTCAGGTATATTTCCATATTTTATTAACTAAATGATCCTGATAATATGCACATATGTTTCATAGCTGCAAACATTCCACTAATGAAAATATTCTAGCTTGGAAACTGTAGGAGTTGGGTGGAATAAAATCATCAATGAAAGCTCATTTATCACATTTCATTCTGTAAGAAATCAATCAAAATCTATATCCTCTTAATGTGCACATTATTGGTATAAATGAAATAACACCCCAACACTATATACCACCAGCCTTAATTAAAGGGGTTTGAGGTTTAACCTTTTTCTATGACAATTTTATTTCAGAACATTTTTCTTTTAATCCTACGATTTAAAATTGAGAATGGAAACGGGGAATGTGTCAAAGAGACAACAACTTTTGCCAGTTTCCATTAACGTTTAACGAGTAACAAAAAGTCACCTACATAAAAGCTTCAAGTCAAATAATAAAACTCTGGAAATTACAAAACTAAGCATAAAATATACATGTAATGCGCCACAGATAATAATCTAGTCCATAGCCTAAAACATAGGCATAAAAAAGAAGTCCTTTCACTTCTAATAAATTTCCCAGAACTATGAAATAATCACAATTATGAAGACAGTAACAACTTTCAAACATAACAAATGGTACAATCTAATCTAAACACTCATATATTTCGTTGTACAAAATATCACCTTGAGTACATACATCTATTGTAAGCCTATGTACAAATTATGCATTGTTTCATTCAAATAGATAACAGTACATGGTAAAAAATGGTCATTATGAAACACAATGAACTTTAACATTTTTTTAAAGGACAATTAAAAAATGTTGTCCTATATCTAATACATTCTGTTGTTACTCATGTTACTAGTCTAGACAATATAAATTAATATTTTTTTCTTGTTATTTTTGAGCATCTGACATCATGGATAGAAAATGTAACAAAACCATTGAATTTGAAAAAAAAAAAAACTTTGATTTATCTCCTAAATTAAATAAACATTGTAAATTCACAAGTTTTTGTCTGCATTTGTTATAGAAATTGTTAAACAATGCCTGAATGAGCAAAAAACGTGAGTTTGGTGATTAGAATTTCAGTAAATTTTCCATAAAAAAAATGATATAAATTTTAAATGCATTTTTAATTTTTACGTAACCTATCCAGTTGTAATTATCACAACAATACACACATCTAAAAATTTCAGAATTTACAGTAATAATCATATAAGGAGATAAATAGAAAGCACCAAAATCTTATGTAAAATCTATATTAATCTGATTTCCCATTGGCACTTAAATTCATTAATACAAATGAACTGACTGAGGTACAACATGGTAAACAGCAGTCTCAATTGAAATGAGCAAATGAACTTAATTCCAATAAATTGCTTCGCCGAGCGCAGCTGGATACGACCGCAGAGGTCCAGCCCTGAACAGTTGGGGCAAAAATGGACACAATATTCACGCTTGATACAGGTCTGAATTTGGATTGTAATTAAATATTGGACACATAATAGGTTTCTGACACAGAATAACTGTAGTCAAAGAACCTAGAATTGGTTATATATGATTTGAATTTATATTTAATTTTTTGCTTTTGTGCAATACACTATGCTGTTGCGAATTGACCACCCCCCCCCCCCCCCCCCCAAAATAAAATTAAAAAAAAAAATTTTAAACCCCCCCCCCCCCCTTTTTTTTGTTGCAAAAAAAAAAAAAATATTTGAAGAAATTTCTTTTTAATTTCTGAAATCTGAAAAAATTGTCCCCCCCCCCCCCCCCCAATTCTTTTTTCACCCTCCCCTTTCTTCTTCTTCAAAAAAAATCTTTCCCTCAAGATATGGATATAATCTCAATTCAAATTTTCAATGGAGTTTGCAACCATAATTACCCATTTAAACTTCTTATTCTTATTCTTAAAATAAATTGACTGCTAATCACCTCAAGACAATACAACATTTCTTTATACATAATTTAAAAGCAGTGTAAGGGAGGCAATCCAAACATAACATTGTACTTTTAAGTAATTGTCCATTAACCAGGAAACGCTTGTTTTCCCCCTTTTTTTTGCCCCTTATTATAAACGGTTTCAGCCATAACTCCCCAAAGCCAATCCTAACCATCCCTTTGTTGTATGGAAACTTGTGGTCTAATTTTAGAGAGATCCATACACCTTTCCACAAGTTATTGTCTGGAAACTAGAAAAAATCTTATTTGGGCCCCTTTTTAGCCCCTAATTCCTAAACTGTTAGGACCATAACCCCCAAAATCAATCCCAACCTTCCTTTTGTGGTTATAAACCTTGTGTTTAAATTTCATAGATTTCTATTTACATATACTAAAGTTATTGTCCGGAAACTAAATGTCTTTGGACGACGCAGACAACAACGACGTGATACCAATATATGACCGCAAAATTTTTTGCGGTCATATAAAAACCCACTAATTTACCTTGAAGTTTTAATTCCCTTTGAATATTTGAATATTCCTCTCAGGAAAAAATATAACTGACAGAAACCAGTAGCACTCATTTGGTATCTATACACATTATCTAATATTCCTGTCATATTTAAAAAAAAAAGCATAGTGCTTTGACAGTAGAAAGGGCAAAAAAAACATTCAAGTTTGATTACAGTGTGCCCAGTTGTATCAGTCAACAACAATAGATGACAGATGTCAAATGATGGCAATAGTTAAACACTGGCTTAGATGAGTTAAAAAAATATTAATATTCTAAAGTATTCTTTTTAATTGATCTGTGAAAAATTTTCAATATGTTCAAGCTTGTACGATGTTAAACTTGAAAAGAAATTCCTTTAATATATCTTCATACAAATAAATTTTGAAATTGACCATCTGACCATATAGTATAGGCCATAATAATTCTTAGAAACAAATATTAAAAGCCTTATGTTATGGATTCATTGTGCTCTTATAAAACAGCCATTTTGTTAATGTATAAATAAACAGCTGCGCCATGAGCCTATGATACGCCCGTCACTTTTTCAATAGCTATAAACCAGTCACCAAAGTTTCTTGAAAACTGCTCAAAGCATTTTTGAGTTATTGTCTGAAAACTGGAAAATCCCCCTTTTTTAATGAATAAAACCCTGTAACTCAGAAACGTAAAATCTACAATTTATAAAATTTCGAAAGGGAGCTCACATCAATAGATATAAACAATTCACCAAAGTTTCATGAAAACTGTTCAAAGCAATTTTTAGTTATTGTCCAACAACTGGAAAGTCCCCTGTTTTTAATGAATAAAACCCCAGAACTCAGAAACTTTAAATCCAAAATTTATAAAAATCAAAAAGAACTCACATCAATAGATATAAACAAGTTACCAAAGTTTCATGCAAATTGGTTAAAGTGTTTTTGAGTAATTGTCCGATATGTTGATGACAGACGGACGGATGGTATACCATAATACGCCCCGTAAACAGGCGTATAAAAAAGAAAAAAAAGAAAGGTTGACATTATCTGATATCAAACTGTTCGCCATCCTTATCAAATGACTTCATTTAAAATGTATGAACCGATAACCAACAATATCAAAAGATTCTAATTCAATTCTTTGCTGGTTTTCGTCCAACTTGACTGCGAGTTACCCGGTCCCATACAAACGGCAATTGGTGTCGAGCTTCAGTCTTTCCGGAACATTTACTTACTTTTGTATCATCAATACCATCCATATTTCCACTAGATATATTAGATTCTTGGTCAGATTCTGATTTAGTATCTGGCTGTTCTGAATCACAGCTATTTGTTGACAATACACTAGGACTTCTTGTATTCCCAGGACTTTTATCCTTTCTAAATACTTTTGGTTCGATGACATCACTATTTAAACTTGCTATAAATTTCCGTTTTGTACCAAACTTTTTATGAAGGTAGAGAGTATCACTATCACTACCATCATCGATTTTCTGTGTTGCTGAATCACAACTATTCTGACGTGAAATTTCCACTTTAATCTCCAAATTAGAATCCGATTCATATGACTGTTTATCAGATTGTGATTGTACATTTGGTGTAAGAGTCTGACTATCGACAACAGATAATGTTTTCTTTATCATATCTGAACTGCTGTCAGGACTAGCTGTGATTACCATGGAGTCTGCAGCACTTTTAGTAACACTTGTTGAAGATATTATCTCCTCTTGTTTACTTTCAAATTGACCTTTCTGAAAATCTCCGATAAGTCTTTTTTTCATAGAAACAGTAACTTCATTTATATCCTTGGTTTCTATATGACAACTTTTTATATGATTTTGATATGCAGCTTCATCTAAAAATTTATCGCTGCATGTTAAACAAGAATAAATTGTTAATTCAGGATGTATTGAATTCATGTGCTCCTTTAAAAAATCGGAGGAGGCAAACGGTATATTACATTCTTTACACACATTGTCCCCCTTAGAATCATCTCTACTTTTGATATCTTCTCCAGAATTAGAATTCATATTCTGTTGATCAGAAGTAAAACTCGGATCAAATGGATTGTTTATTTTTGGATGTCCATGTTGTCTGCAGTGGCGCTTGTATGCACCAAAATCGTTCAACTGAAAAGTCTGCCCACATTCATGGCATTCAAGATATTTCCTGTTTCCACTATCAGACTCTATTTTCTGGATATCACATGCACCATCTGAAGGCATATAATCCATGTTTTCCTCTTTTACAATAGTTACAGTCTCTGTATCACTTTGCCCTTCCTGACTGACTGGGACTCTCATGGTTTTAGTATGACTGAGAGCCCTTGGATTTTCAGCAACACTGATTTTATTTTCATCCATAGAATTGGCAGACAAAGTATTTGGGTGTTGTGCAACCAATATGGCTTGTTGGTTTGCTGATGGTGAAAGCAAAGCAGTTTTTGCAGTTTTTGTTTCAGATATTGTTTGAACAATTGTATGCTCAGCTCGTGGTTCAAATCCATGTTGGTTTCTGAAATGTTTTCTAAATCCATATGGACTGCCATAAGTTTGACCACATAAACGACAAATCAAATACAAAATATCTGTCGGGGAATGACTGCCAAGAATATTTTGTATTGGTTCATGCCTGGAAACATTTGGTCCTTTTTTCTGATCTTGCGGTAGATGAACTGACTGATTTATTGGACTTTGAACTTTAATGCAATTGTCAGCTGAAATCATTTCATCATTCAGACTTGATGTCTGAGGTGACATAGGAACTTGTACACGAGAATTTTGTCTAAATGTATGACAATCATTTGGACCTTGTAAAGACTGTTGTACTGGTATCTGACTGTAACTACGGCTACCTGTATCATTTTCAGATGGTCTGAGCAAGTTTCCTGTTCTGTTTTGAGCTTCATAATTAGGGTATGCAACCTGAGTTTGTGCAGAGTATTGTGAACTAACAGCTTGTTTATGTGGGTGAGGACCAGTGTTCTCCTCAAATACACCCTTCTCAAACTGTCCTTTAACAAGATACTCAAAACCAGAATAACATTTACTTGCTGGTCGAGTTACTGGAACTTCTTTTGGTTTATTTTTGACTTTACATGTTAAGTCTAAAGGCTGCATGTCTGGATCAACACTGGAATCCTCTCTATTTACAGAGAAGTCTAATGCATGCTCATGACGTGGCTGTCTATTTACTTTTTCTTCAGAACGACTTGGAATCCTTGCTGGTATTTCTACTGATTCAGGCTGCCTATATTTAGTTTCTGGTCGAACAGTTGCATGAGGTGGAGTCTGAAATACAGCTCTATTAGGGTTAAATTCACGAACAGATGGAATCGGGGGAGATGATGGAAAAAGCTGTGGTGGTTTCTGGGATTGCTGTTTAAAGTAATGTTGCGGTGGCACTGGACCCAGAGCCATAGCAGATGAAACTGATGGATTTCTATTATGTCCTTCTACGTTATACTGGGGTGATCGATGCATTGGACCTGCCATTCTAGGAGTTACCTGACTTATTTGAGCATTTCTCATTGGTGTGTCCACATATCCTGCACCATTATTTCTGTTATTCATTGGAGAATAACCAGGATGTGTTTGTCTAACATGATGCATGTTTGATGTTGGTGGGTAAATTTGATTATGATCAGAATGTGTTTGATAATGTTGTGGTGATGGCATCATTGCCCGTGGCATTTGCTGAGTAGCTTCATTTGAATAAGGAACGTGAGAAGATGGTGACATCTGTGGATGATTGGATGGATACGGCAGTTGTCGTGGCGAAGATTGTTGGTATGGTGGACCTGGAGACATTTGGTGCTTGGAATGAAGTTCATTTGAGTGAAAATTTTGTGAACTACTGACTACTGGTCGTGTTGAGAAATGTGGATAGTTTCGAATATGTTGTTGAGCATTAGGTGAAATCTGCTGGTTGCCTGTCTGGTAACTTGTTCTACTATCAGGTGAATTGGTAAGATAGCCTGGAACAGATGCAGCTTGGGGATAAGGCTGCTGAAATCCTCGATTACTTAAGGTAATTGGTTTCTGTGAAGCCTGTGGTCCGTTGCTGTATCTTAAAGGTGGATATCCAGGAGAAACAGGATATCGTGAAGACTGGTACACAGGTGATGGCACATTTTGTTTAGGTGATAAATTTGAAGGCATTACATGTTCTCTTGGTGAATGTCCGTGCCATGAGTTTGGACTATGACTGTAAAATGGAGATACAGGTGACTGATCTAAAGGTGATCTGGAATAACTTCCTCCTGGTGACATTGCACTTTTGAATGATCCTCGACTGTTCCCATCAAATGTATCTATTCTAGGTGGCTGAAGATAACGACTTTGATCTCTGTTGACATCAGGATAAATATCTGACACTTTTATCAATTTAGGAGGACCCAAATGTTCTAAATCATAGGCCTCTAAAGATTTATGACGTTTGATTTCTAAACTTGCCTCTTGTGCATTAAAACTGTGACTTCTGTCCCTGTAATGCCTTACAGGTTCTCCTACTAAACTTTGACTATGTTCCCTATGTATTGTCCGTAGATCATTTTCTTTATATTGGAAACGTTCATCTGGTAGTTTAGATGGTGTTTGATCCTGCACTCTAATTTCTTCAATGTCCTTCTTAGAGGAATTTTGAAAACTCTTTTCAAGAACCTTTTCTATGTGATCCTTTAAATACACAACTTTACTTTTATTGATTGACATATCATCTGATGGTTTTGACTCAGTTCTTGGTCTATCACTAGTGTCTTTGACCAATAGTTCATTTCGTATTTCATTTTTGATTGTATGAAGATGATTTCTATTTGGAATTCTATTGTCGGGTATCTGTCTAACATTGTCTGCCACCTGTTTACACCCATTGGAATTTGGACCAGAATCAACTGATTTAGTTTTTTGTAAGGAATTATCTAAAACTTTTTCAATTAGAGTTTGAAATGTTGTTGTCTCACGATTCCCTTCCTTTTGTTTTGATACTTTTTGTGTATTTATTTCCATTTTCAAATTGTTTTGATTTTCTACATTATACACATGTTCAAGATTTGCAGTTTTACAGTTTTGTGACTGTACTAAATTTGTACTATTATCTTGTACAATTTTGTTTACTTCTTCATGATTACTTGAAAGTGAATGACTTGTATTACTTTCAAATGCATCTCTATTTTCTTGTTTAATTAACTGTAAATTAGTTTGATTTGAATCCACAACTGATTTATTTTTCATTTCTAGATCAGATTCATAACTTTTGGATGATAAACAGCTTGTAATTAAATTGTCAATTCTATCCTTTAAAAATACAGTTTCTAAACTTTTAGGTTTATCCTTTGCATTATTTTTTGTTGAAATTTCTTTCAGTTTTTCATTTGCTATTTCAGTGCGAGTGACAGGTTTTTTACCAGTAGCAGATATACTTTCCTTCTCTCTAGTTATTTTGAGCTGATCCTTTTCCAAACATTCATTCACATCTGTGTCTTGCTCTTGTTTAACATTTTGTAAATTTGGTGCTTGAGCATTTTCAGTAGATTTTCTTAAATCTGATGAAACACTCATACCTAGGTTTTTGTTTTCCCTGAAATCAGCATGTGATTTTTCAAACAGATCATCATTAGGCTCTAGATGTGATTTTTTATAAACATCATCTGTGAGCTCTGAACCAGTTTTAGTATCAGTTAGCTCAATTTTCTCCTTGTCCTTTTGTTCATTTATTGTGCTTTGTTCAGAATTATTCACTTTCACTTTATTTTCAAGTCCTACATCTGAATCTGTAATAAACTTTTCATTACTTTTCTTGCCACAATTTACTTTTGAAGCATCGTTTTCTTCATCTGCCTCCTGTAGCATACGACTAATAATATTTTTGAATCCCTCATCCTGGTCATCAACAGACATCTGTTGTCCCATTAGGCTACAGAATGTTGTTGACCCACACTTCTGAAACATATTAAAATAATCAATTAAATATGCAGGCATTTTTGTCTTAAAAAACTGCAAACATCTGATTATTTAGAGGTAACATATTTAACTGATTGAGAAACAGATGGAACTACTGTAAATTCAGAAATTATTGCGTGCATTTATTATTGCGATTTTGTCATTTTAGACTAAAATGCGATTTTATTTTTTGCGATATTGAGAAAAATCCTGCTTAATTCATATAAAAAATTTCAAAATGCGAGTTTAAATTATTGCGATTATAACCCTGTCGCATTTTTCGCAATAATAAAAACATCGCAATAATTTCTGAATTTACAGTAATACATTTTTATTAGATACAATTAATTAGTCCCTTTTTAGTGTTTTTGTGTTGTATATTTTGCTTTAAATTGCAGATTTTTGTGTCAGACCCCATAAACTGACTGCAATATAGACATATGGTTATCTGGATTTCTCCTGTAAAGCAGTATTGCAGTATAATAAGTGCTGATGAGGTGTCTGTTAGGTTGTGTCAGATGTAGTCACATATGGTCAGAAAGAGGATGTTCAATCTGATGCACAATATTGGGGACTGCCACACTTTCTACATTGCAAGAACATATTAAGGGTCCATAATTTCTGACCCTAGCTAACATATCCACTCTCTCTAAATGCAGACAAACTACATGTATCTGTAATTCCCTGTCCATCAACTTTGCTGAACCTAAATTTTTGATTAATTATCAAACTTGTTCTTTCCCTGAATATGTAACTATTGTTTTTGTGAACAATTATCAACCTATTATTTTCTGTTCAATATTTTGACATCCTTTTCATTAAGTCCTCTGTATTTGATTATTTTCAACTTGCCTATGCTGTTGATATTTTCTTCACTGTCTATAGGATTTACATGCATTCTATTTCATAGTCATATACACATATTTTGTGTGTAACAATAAATTTATATTTTGAAACTTCATTGTCCCTTGATTTTTTATTGAATACAGAAGATTATAGTTATTTCATAATAATGTATTGTTGTAAACTAATGAATTACTTTAAAACTAAGTTTGCCTGTAACAAAATATGTTTGCCTGTATCAAAACTTTGTTTGCCCATAGAAAAACTATCTTTGCCCTTACCAAAGCTATGTTTGTTCGTAACAAAACTATGCTTGCCTATAATAAAATAACAAAAACTATGTTTGTTTATATCAAAACTATGTTTTCATGTAGCAAAACTATGTTTGACTGTAACAAAACTAACGTTTGACTGTAACAAAACTATGTTTGTATGTAACAAAACTATGTTTGCCTGTAACAAAACTATGTAAAAATAACAAAAGTCAAGGTCTTGAATGGTAGGATAACCATACTTATGGTTTGTAATTTGAATGGCCACATAAATAGTGACGACACTAGTATTTGATAAGGAAAACTGATTGATACCTTCTGATTTCTACAAATTAGAGTTCAAGACTTTCTGCACAAATCAAAGTGTGTTAGCCCTGTAAAGACAATTGCTATCTACTCAATGTTTTGTGACTTCTAATTTCCATTGTAATGAAATGGAATTACACCTGACTTGAAAATATATTAATTAAATTCAAAGGATTAACTTCATGATTTAAAATTATCTTTTTTTATCAGAAAAGACAATAAAAAAAGCTGAGATATAAAAATTAGAACTTCAAATTCAATGACACATAAAAAAGGAGCTTTACAAGTTTTTAAGTTTGATTTTATTTACTATGTAAATACAAATGTGTGCAAGTGTCCTCCTTTTTTTAACCAGTACAAATTTGTACCTCTAATCACAAGGCACAAAATAATGTCATAACAAATAACACCAGTAAAACATATATCAGCATATCAAAACACTTTTTACAAGTCTTAAATTAAAAATAAGGTGATTTACTGAAACTACATAGTCATAAGAAATGGGTTAAGGAAAATCCTATTTCATTCATTATTCATAATCATTTTGAAATTTACAGGTTTTTTTTGCTCTCTATGACTTGAGTAGCATTGTTATTTCTTGAGGAACTTGTAAGTGTATGTCATTAAAATCATTTCAATTTCAAGGTTCATCATTGAGTATTGACAAAAATGGCTATGTTTACACCACAAAATTTGCTAAGGAGTACAGACAAACCTGTACATCTGAAAAAATTTTAAGCACTGCTTGACATAGATATATAAATGTTATATGCATTGTGTGTTTCAGATAATTAAAAACTTTTAAAATTTTGTGATTCATTTTTTTTCAAGCCTGCAGAAGATGGTAAAATAAACAAACACCTGAATTTTACTTGATACATTTATACTGTCAACTCAGTTTGGTACACTTTATCATTAACCTACAGTATTGTTGTGCAGATATCTATTGTCCATGTAAATCATATATGGGATTTTGATATTTATTTTTTCCTTTATTGCAATTAGTTATGCTTTCTTATTTGTAGATCTTATTTAGTGGCATTTTGGAAGATATTATAATGATGATAATTTTTACTTTTTACACTTTATACCTATCTATTGAAGTTTTTGAGGCAATAAATATCATTTAAGGCAATAAATCCTATAACTAGTGCGATACATTGACCATATACAATGTCATTATTATAAATACTGTAAATTCCGAAATTATTGCGATGTTTTTTATTATTGCGAAAAAATGCGTTAGGGTTATAATCGCAATAATTTAAACTCGCATTTTGAAATTTTTTATATAAATTAAACAGGATTTTTCTCAATATCGCAAAAATTAAAATAGCATTTTAGTCTAAAATGACAAAATCGCAATAATAAGTGCACGCAAAAATTTCTGAATTTACAGTACATCATAATTGGAAATATTTGAAATTTTCTATAGAACAGATCAAAAGAAAAAAGTTCAAAAAAATATAAAAATCAATAAATAAATAAATAATAATAATTAACAGATAGGAGTATAGGAGTTGAAAATGAAGAAGAAGAAAAAGAAGGAAAAAAAAAAACAAAAGAATTATCCAGTTACATCCCTGTCTATATTTTTTTTTTTAAATTTTAAATGTAACATATTCATGATGAAAAATATTTGAAAAATTAACTATACTGTTTACATATTCCTTTCATAACAGCCAGCAACACAGATCAAGGACATAACATGAGGTTGAGGGAAACTTACGCTAGAGAACGGAAATGAAAAATTCAGCAATGTTTCCATTTGTTAAGGAGCATAACTCTAGAAAGGTAAAAGTGACGCCATCCATATTCAAATTTGGTCTGTGTTTTGTGGTAATAAGCACTGTGTATAAGTTTCATAACATTTGGTTGAGGCAAACTAAAGTTAGAGAACAGAAAATTTTGGGCAGTACAGACGTACGGATATACGAACATACAGACGGACAAGGGTATAACTGAATGCCCTCTCTGCTAGGGCAGGGGCATAAAAATTGTGAAATTTGCAAAAAATTGCCATTTTAAGGGCAATAACTCCGAAAAAGGTAGCTTTATTTTTCGGAAAATTTCCAAGGGATATACTTTGACCTACCAGTCAACTCTACTGTCAGATTTATTTATAAGGCCAACTCAAATTAATTACTGCGGATTCATTATTATTCGTTGGATACCAATTTTCGTGGGTTTCGTGGGTACAAGTGAACCACGAATTCAAATGTTCAACTAATTACAAATTTTCTATAGGCTTTGTATGCAGAGATTGGCAAATCCACCCAATCAAATATCCACGAAAATACAAGTTTTCCTCAATCCACGAAAATTGATACCCACGAAAATAAATGAATCCACAGTAGTAGATTTTCATCCTGATTTTTGAAAAAAATGGGGTGGGTGGGAGGATTTTATTTTTTAATTTTTATTTCCTACGAAACCCTTTTGTGACGTGTTATGGAGTTTATTATGCCCCCCTCCTGCTGCGGGATTTTCTCACTGTGTTGAAGACCCATTGGTTGCCTTCGGGTGTTTTCTGCTATTCGGTCGAGTTGTTGTCTCTTTGACACATTCCCCATTTCCATTCTCAATTTTATCTTCATGTAAGGGTAATATTAACCTTATATCATGTATATATAGGAAATTCTACATAATTTTTCAAATTCTTAAATAAATATTTCTGATTGCAACCACTGTTCTACATGTCATTGCCGCTTTATAAACCTATTTTTAGTAAATAGCAAAAAGGTGGAGATATGCTCTCATTTAGACTACCAACATCAAATTTATTTTGCTTTCTAAGCTATGGTTTGTAGTGCCCATAAAATGAATCATATGCATTGGTATACAAGTATTAAGAGTACAGAGTAAAATAAAACGCTTCGCTGAGCACAGCCTGATACAACCGCAGAGGTCAAACCCTGAACAGTTGGAGCAAGTTTGGACACAATATTCAAGCTTGATACTGTCTGAATTTGGATTGTGATAAATTTTTGACATAATATAGGTTTCTGACACAAAATAAACATGGTCAAAGATCTTAAATTTGGTTATATGATTTGAATTTATATTCAATTTTTTGCTTTTGTGCAATACATGATGCTGTTGCGAATTGACCCCCCCCCCCCCCCCTCCCATTTAAAAAAAATAAAAAAATTTGAAGGATTTTCTTTTTGATTTCTGAAATCTTGAGGAGAAAAAATTGTCCCCCCCCCCCCCCCTTTCCAATTTTTTTTAACCTCCCACCCCCTCTATTTCCAAAAAAAAATTCTTTCCCTCAGTCATGGTCATAATTTCAATTCAAATTTCCATGGAGTTTGCAACCATAATAACCCCTTTAAATACATGATAAAAGTCTTAAAATAGAAAATGACATACATAATCATAGCTAAAATTAATTTACCTTAATCAGCATTTTTAAAATTATGAAAATAGTAACTTCTAAAAATGAATTGACAGCTAATCACCTCAAGACAATACAAAAATTCTTTATACATAATTAATAAAAAGCAGTGTAAGGGAGGTAATTCAAAGTAGTTTTTGAATTACCTCCCTTACACTGTAATTTGTACTTAAGTAATTGTC